TATGTATATATAGAATTGTAATATAGAATGTGTGTGTACACATATACACCCATTTCCAGGGTGAAAATAAAATAATAAAGTAAAACAAATAGAAAATAAAAAATCCTAGAGGTCCATGTACAAGACAGCTTCATTTCTCATCATATTTTTATATAAACTATGATAATTAAGATAGTTATGATAATAGTCATTATAATTATTATCATTATATCCTTTTTTAATCTATTTTGAAGTTAATCCAAAGACACAATGACCAAAACAATCAAAACAGCAGTAGGTATACCCATGTTTTGGTTAGTTAGAGTAGTCTGCTAAAACATTTTTTTACAAGATTCCTCTTGAGGTGTGTGTTTTTTAAAATCGTACCTTTGTTGCCGGCCATGCTGCGCTGTAGGATCTGCTCCACTCTCCCTGCCATGTCGGACATGTTCTGGGCTATAGCCTGGATCCGCTCCACGAGCCCTACAGGCTGAATCCTGAACAAACAAACAAAGAGAATATCTAAACAAACATAGAGACTATTCAGTGACAACCATCTTGTAATGTCCTAAATTCTCTTCAAACTGCAATCAGGCGGCTTCGTAAGAAAGAGAACACTATCATTATTTTTTTTTCAATCCAGCTGTATTTGTTGTTTTTGCACACTTCAGAGTGAGCATGAACAAGTGGAAGAAATGCTAATTCCCCTGAAGTTGAGGCGTGAAATCGAAAAGACGCTTTTAAAAACACTGACAGATAATTTATTTGTTAAGATGAGGAAAGTTACGCGGCATATTAAAGCAGGTCTCCTGAGGGAAATGAAAACAAAAGACAATTAGGTGGTTTGCAAAATGCGTTTCACTGCACTTGACCTCTGAGGCCTGAAAGCTGTTGGATAAACAATCAGGAATATTTACAACGGAGAAGGAGATACGGGGGAAAAACAGATTATAAAGAGAAGACAAAATGTGTTCAGCCCAGGAACTCAGGTTACCCCAGCTAAAGGTTATCAAAATATATTTCAACACCTTATACTTCAAGATCTGCTCAAGGTCCAAACACCAGAGAAGAAGAGAGGAGGAGATGAGACGTGTCAGCAAATGTTATCTCCAAAGCTTATATTTGCTGCTAGGAATTAGGGATGCCAGCGATTATTCAATTTTTCGAATATTCGTTACAGTCTCCATAATCGAAAATTATTTTTGATCATGGTCAGTTTCTGGCATCCCTACTAGGAATGCACAGCAACTACCTACATAAATGGTTAATGGATTCAGTCAATTAATTATTATTTAACCTTCCTAAGAAACATCTCTGAGAAATAAAATACAACTCCTATACGTGTCCAAAAAAAGGTGTTTAAAAGTCAGATCCCCTTGTCAGATATCTACTGCATGGACAGAGAACTCTTAATGAAGCTATTGCTAAAAGCCAAACGCCCTACTTTCATTACCAATTCATCTACAGATTATTTTGTCACTTATGAGTTGTTTGGTCTATAAAGTGTCAGCAAATAGTGAAATATATTCCATTATTAAGTTTACTGTAACAGTAGAGTTTAAGAAAAAGGTTCACATTTGAATAAACAGTAGTTTTTTGCTTTTAATATCAGTTAAAATTGAACTTTTCTTCTCATCTTAAAATACATTTATGTACTAATCTTTGGAGCTCTAGCCACTAACAATACACACTAACAATCATTTTAATTATCATTTAAATCATCCTGCCCCATGTTGCTTAGGAGTGCTAGAAGTTTTCAATTAACATTGCTTGATCAATTATTTAGTAAATGGTTCAATACTGCAGAGAGAATTCTGGACAAGAAAAATACTTTATGTCCGGGTTACTGGTGGATCTCATTAAACTTGTTCTTACACGACTTAACACACATTCAGACCTTCTGCTTAACATCTGACTTGCTGCAGCTGAAGAAAAAAGATAATTTTAACGTCAAACTTTTGCACATGGCTTTAACGATGACGATAATACACCAAAAGGCATACTGTATATTGAAGTACTGCATCATTGCCTTGTTCTACATGAAGAAGAAAAAAACACATAAATGAATTATTTGAATGAGCTTTCTTGTTATCTAGTAGTATTTCTGGGATTTACATTGCTCATTAAAGGTCTCTGAACATGGAAACTCGTGAAACTAACACAAACTAATGGAACCAACGCCGCTCCACAAATTGCACCCTTTGGAACAAATAAAGTGTTCTACTGTCTAAGGTAGAAAGCTTTCTACTGTGAAAGTCCAAAGGAACAGTGGTTTGGAGCCAGATCGAGCACTAAAACACTGCTTACATCGGGGCTGCATGTCTTTCTCTGTGTGTGTGTGTGTGTGTGTGTGTGTGTGTGTGTGTGTGTGTGTGTGTCAGGAAAAAAGCAATCTCACTGTGCTTATATGCATAGCTTATTTATAATCCCCCAATTTCATTTTTCCATATGGTTCCCAGGTGGTAAGTGGTAGCCAAACCTTCTCTTTTATACTTTACACAAGCAGGTCAGCTCAAATGAATTGCCAATTATACAGACACACTGACACACATTACACTAAAGCACACACACACACACACACACACACACACACACACACACACACACACACACACACACACACACACACACACACACACACAAGCACAGGAACACACAAGCTTTCACTTGTGTAGACAGACATTTGTGGTCTCACTCTGAACCCCCCATATTTTCACTGCAGGGACTCTGACCCTATCAGCTGTTGAGGAGCAGGAGGACAACCTAATTACTTTTTTAACGATACACCAGTTGTGCAGAGTTTTTCCTGGCTTAAGATCTCACACTCATCTCCAGGGTCAACCCCTGACCTTGAGTCATGCAGAGTTTGTTAATCACCTGGGTGAGATAAAATATAAAGCCAAGATGTATCAGAATGAGATACTTTTTCTTTCACCGAGCAAGTTTTAAAACCATTTGACCTTTGTGACTGTAACATTTTCTAGTTTAGTCCCTGAGAGGCCAATTAAATGATTGTTAAAACTATATGACAGAGGGTTTATCCACAGAGCTCCTTGTTGAGAAAAATAAAAATGTTCTGTGTTCTGCATTTCAAAAGAAAATGTATGCAGTATTTTGGCTCGTGGACAATAAATAACTCCCACAAGGCTTTTAAAACTGCAGGTCAGGTGAGGCGTCACACATTTTCTGTCATTGTCCATCATTTGCTGTCAGACGCAGTGGCACAGTAGCAAGATTGTACATTTATAATATTACTACAATACCCTTTTTGTATTAGGGCTGTCAAATTACCAATATAGAAAATTCCTTTTAATGCCACATATTTTTCTGACAGGCGAACCTTCTGACACCCTATGATTACGACCCACGCCGTAAATCAGAAAGCAATGAAGAAGTAACATTGTACGTTTTATATGCATTTACTTTCGATGACAATGGAGTTATCTCCGGATCCAAAGGCACACCAGGCTGGGTAATTTGCAACAGAGATGCAAAGACAAATCCACAATCAACAAACTCTCAACAGCAATAGCTACATTGGTGGCTACAGCTTGCAGGCCAATTAACTTGAATTTTTCTTTTATGGATTTTTAGAAAGTAAGCATATTCGTCCACTCCCATGTTGATGAGAGTATCAAAAATCCTTTCAATTACTTTAAGAAAAGATACAAAAATTGGTCCAATTAATTTGGGATTATTCACAAGATAACTTTGGACAGGCATGCAATAATCGCAATTAAATATTTTCATCTATTGACAGCCTTAGTTTTTACATGTATTACCAGAGGTACTAATTACACATTACTCAGTGAAAGCTCTATTGACGTGGCTTTCAAAAACAGATATTTCCCTCACTGTGGGGGGGAGGGAGGTGATGTCCAGAGGGAATGAACAGCAAAGGCAGAACACAGGAGCTTCCACTCCTCAAACCCTGAGCAGGTGCAGGCATATGGAAAGGTTTGTTTCTATGGCGACGGCAGAGCACACACACATACACACAACTCAAAGTAGGCGGCTTCAACTTGTCCAGCAAGAACCCTGCTCTACCTTGTTATTTTCATATATATATATATATATATACGCTTCACACATCTCTTTCATTTTTTCCAGCTACCCTGGGAGCAGGGATGGGGTTCTAACACGTATCATCCTCTCCAACACAAAGTTTCCGCAGCGTGAGGCGTTTTCTTAACATGGACCAGATCCAGTGGGATGCCCCAGGGCTCAATACTTGGCCTTCTTCCTTTCCTCACACTGTCTCTCCCGAGTCCTCCTCAGCCGTCATGTTTTTATCTTACCTTTACCTTGCTTATGAAATTCTGCTCTGGCAAACAGCTGGAAAACTGAACAGGATGTTCTGCAGACCACCTCAAGTTTAACCTTGACAGACTTAAAAGCATATTTTCATCACTACTGACAACACTGCCTTGACAACATCCTGAAAGGGAAGTGCATTTGAATCATAAAATTGAAAATGAAATGTTATAGGAGACAGGGTGGCTGGCAATCTCTTTGATGTGACATACAACCATTCTTAAAGCATACATTTATCCATTGCATTTTTTTTTTTAAAGAGGCTCTATTAAATGGTAAATGGACTGTACTTATATAGCGCTTTATCCAGTCTTTAAGACCCCTCAAAGCGCTTTACATACTACATGTCATTCACCCATTCACACCCATTCATACAGAGCAGTGTACCTTACTCTAGGACCTAACATTCACACACATTCACACACCGTTGGCCATGCCATTGGGAGCAACTCAGGGTTAAGTATCTTGCCCAAGGATACATCGACATGTTGACTGCATGGGCTGGGATCGAACCCACAACCTTCTGGTTGAAAGACGACCACACTCCCTCACAGCCACAGTCACCCCTATTATGCTCTTTGTAGTGATGATAAAGATTATATCATTTCAAAACTCCTGAATAGCTACAAAATGCACATTGTGTTCACATTTCTTTATGATCAGTTGTTTAAGGATGAATTTTAAGGCATCACCTTTAACAATTTTGTAGGAATTGTACACAGTGACCCCCTTGAGTAGGGCCTGGGGTGCAATCTGACATTACAGATATTTCATCAACAAAGCACTCCATCCTCACTCCATTACTCTATTTCCCATTTTTGAAAAGTTCTCTTTAGGCAACGGTGAGATGAATTATTGATTGTGATATAAATAAAAGCTGGAGAGCAGTCTACTGCAATTTCCTAATGTTTGTGCAGCACTCCTCAGAAACGTTCAGGTAACCGTCAACTCTACCTGCATATGGCAGCAGGAAACAAAAACACAACAGGAAACAAAAGAGGCTTTAGAAAGGGAGACGCTGTACCTGTCCAGGGCCGAGCTGAGCTCATCCAGCCGGTGGGCGTCTGTGGAGTTGCCCACTTTAGACAGAGCATCCATCCTCTTCATAATGACCTCCAACATGTCACTGATCTTCCTCAGCACACCGCGAGACTCTTGCCCACCGAGCACTGAAAAACACAAAGACAGACAGGGTGAAACAAATATGGATCAAATAACGATCAGACAAGGTAAGGATAAGGAGAAAGTAAGATACATTGGAAAATATACAGATAACATTTTATACAAAAATATTTGGTGTTACATAATGTAGAAGACAAGGTCACAGGAACCAAACAAACGGCTTTATTTCAAATAGATTGTGTTTTTTTAAGCGTGTCAGGATTTTAAATCACCAATGTAGCACAGACCCCTCATGGTAATATTTTAAAATTCATTTATTTTACTTTCCATTTCAAGGTTTACTCTAAAGCTTCGGTCTAGTTTCTATTTTGTTTTTGTCCTTCGTTAGTAAAACAGCAGCTCGCCAGGAGCCAGCTTTCCAGCAAAACACAGCAACGGGCAAATTAGTCTGACAGTATTGGTTTTTGTCTTCCTTCTCGACTCAAATTATTAACGACCTGACAGGCGGTAAACCAGGACGATGGCGTTTAGCGAACACCTACTGTAGTCAATTAATGAGCCTGCAGCTACAGACAATGAGGTCAAAGCAGGTCTCCAGACTGCATCGCTCGCGAGGCGAGGTCCCGACCCCGTGTTGTTTCTTTGATGCCATTAAGCTCCGCGCTCAATCCAAACGTAATTATTGAAACAGCTCAAAAATAACATATGGTTCCATGTGCGCCTAAGAAAACACTATTCTCATCAGCAAAAAGTTGTTTTTGATTCAAATAAATCCAACAATCATGACGAATAATGCCACATTTGGGACTTGGGAGTGAATTATTTGTGGTTTGAGAGAAACATACTAAAAACCCGTAACAGCCTGAGGTTGTTCTTGGAGACTGTGAGTAGAAAATACAGCCTCAGCCCTCTGTGTTCCTTCATCAATTGCATTAGGCTTTAGAAACTGCAATGCGTGCAGACTCACTTCTCCTGTCAGGGTTCATTTATCACTTCCCAAGCAAGAGTCACCTTTCTGTGAAAATAAATTGTATTACATCACCAGTAAATAAAATAAGAACCACCCACTACTATAGGTCTGTGCGCATGTGTGTAGATACTGTATAAATTCATACGTGTAGGTGTATGTGTGTTGTGGAGGTCTGAACAAAGCAAGAGAAACGCTCGGCATCAGAAACATGCAGCATCCAAAGTCCTAAATCTCTTCCCTTTATTGCCTGTAAGCCTACATATTCTCTTCTATTGGTTAGCCCTGGTGAAGTCATTTCTAGAATATCTTCATTTAAAGCGGCCTTAAGACGCCTGGCTTTGAATAATTCAGCACTTAGGCAACTTTTTTTCCATCCACAGACAGAGATACTAAATTATTCCCATTTAGATTCAAGGCTTTAGAGCAGCCATAAAACAATGCATTTAAAAAAAGAATGACACAGGATAGGAAAAGAGATGAGATTTAGGAAGGAGTAAAGCACTGCAGGGTATTACTAGAAACCGTGTTAAGGATACTGTGTTAAATTGGGCCTGGGGTTTAAAGTGGGAGAATGGTTGCTTCCCCACTACGACACAATCATCTTTAAAATTAAGCATTTATGTTTAAACTTCATACCTGCAATGCCAAATCAGGCCAGTGGCATCAAGCAAGGGTTCAAAGATGCCCTATATGCTCACGCCCCTCTTCCAACTCAACTTTGATTTTTATCTCAGTCCAACACGCCTGAAACGCCTCCATTGGACTCCTTTGTTTAGTTCCCTAACATAGTCAGGGATAGACATCACTATGTTACACTCGGGCTTCTATTGGCTAGCGCTTCAACACAATGTACCTAATAGGCTAAGGGTTGGGACATCTCTAAGCGGTTGACCAACCACAACAGAGCCGGCTAACCAATCAGAGCAGACTGGTCTCTGGTTTCAGACATAGGGTGAAAAGAAGTGCAGTATGAGACAAATAAAGACATTTTTGAACATTAAAGCAGGTAAACCTGTCACAGTACAGGCATCGAATACAAATATGAAACCAGAACATTTGCATAATGGGCCCCTTAAAGCAATGTTGGGCTATTTCAGATCATTTCCGAACAATATCAACAATTATTTTCACTGGATATGATGACCGGAGAGATGTAAATTAGTCTGACTTGAAAGACTCACACACACAGACTCATAAGGTGAAAACTTTTTTGATTACCAGCGTCGCTGTTTAAAGCTGGAATATGTCCATGTACAGACAAACTGATCATTGCTGCCTATAACTTTTCTGACACCTGTTGCATGTAACAGTATGACCAAAGTTTTAGCACCCAAACTGTTATTTTCCCATTATTCTCAACATCTATTTCTGTGGACACTGACTTTTGCTAAACTCAGAGGATCTTATATCTGCTCCGGTGTTCATGCTGCACTAAATCTAAAGCCTCTGGGTTAAAGTGTTGGAAGACCTTCTTCTCAGTAATGATTCTTGCAAACATTGCACTCGTAAATCCCCATTACGGAGATCCAGCTCCCTTCCTACACAGTTTGTTTATACAACCGAGCCTTATATATGTTTGCAATCAACTGTTCATCAGACGGCTTTTCGCTCTGGCTTTGTGCTGCCTCTTGGGAAACATTGGCTAATGTGGTTTCCCCGATGCACAGTGCGGATGGCAGACAGTGTTGCAGCGGGACCTGATGGTATCTATGTGCTAATGTACAGCCTCCTCTGTGTCATTCCTCATCGGCTGGTTAATAAAGGGTCGATTTAGCAGCAGCTAATCTCCGTTAACGACTCAATTTCGGAAGTGCCACAGCACAATCAATACTTTGAACAAATTCCAATTAGATAGCCATTTGTATTGTGGCCTGCTGTGGGTACTGTGAAACACTGGACAATACACAACTGCCCTTTAAGAGACTCACTGGATACATGCATTGTAACACAGAAACACACTTTAACAGGCTGCTAAAATCATAACAGAAGATCGCTAACCAGAAACAAATGTGTAAATTAATTATGAAAACGGCTGTAAGCGAGATATAATGACCCTCATTCACAATTGTACCTCTTATTTAACACTTATCCCAATGCAGTGCTTCAACCTCACATCAGCCATTTTCCTTTACTACTTTTAGCTTGTTTTGCTATGTCATGGCCACAGCCTGTTACCCCTTTTATTTGTTTTTTCAGACCCTGATATTCCCTATAATCTGATCCCCACACCATCACACCTGCTCCTACATTTTGATAGAGTCAATGTCCGGATCCAAAAGCGGAAAGTCCAAACTGAAAAGAAGGGTTTAGATGTAATAGATGTTTATAGATAGATAAACTTGAGATGTTTAGTTTAGATTGTATTATTTGACTTTAACTTTAACTATATATTTATTTGTTGTTCCTTTCTTTTCTTTTCACTATATCTGTAAAGCGTCTTTGAGCACCTGTAAAAGCGCTAACAAAATAAATCTATTATTATTACACTGAACAAAAATATAAACGCAACACTTTTGTTTTTGCTCCCATTTTTCATGAGATGAACTCAAAGATCTAAAACATTTTCTACATACACAAAATAACCATTTCTCTCAAATATTGTTCACATATCTGAAAAAATCTGTGATAGTGAGCACTTCTCCTTTGCTGAGATAATCCATCCCACCTCACAGATGTGGCATATCAAGATGCTGATTAGACAGCATGATTATTGCACAGGTGTGCCTTAGGCTGGCCACAATAAAAGGCCACTCTGAAACGTGCATTTTTGCTTTATTGGGGGGGTCTGGGGGGGTCCGAAAACCAGTCAGTATCTGGTGTGAGGGTTAGGGTTAGGGTAATGTTGTGAATCGAGTGGCCCATGGTGGTGGTGGGGTTATGGTATGGGGAAGGCGTATGTTATGGAAGTGCTCACTAACACAGATTTTTCAGATTTGTGAACAATATTTGAGAGAAATGGTTATTTTGTGTGTATATAGAAATGTTTTAGTTTAAAATGGGAGCAAAACAAAGTGTTGCGTTTATATTTTTGTTCAGTGTAGTATGATGACAGATGGAGACATGGAGTGCATGTTTGATGAGGGTGGTGCAGGCAAACAGTTATTTAGTGTCTTAAGTTCCATGTTCATGAGGTTAGTTTTCTTGGCCATGATTAGGGTTATGGAAANTGAGTGGGAAATGCTGACTGAAAGTTACTTAGGCATGTAAAGGTCAGTTCTAAACTTAAAATTCCGAACGCACACACAACTCCCCACAGAGACAAAAAGGATCTTCCAGAAAAAAACTTTTTTGTTTTACCCATGTTTCCAAAAAGTTACACCAGTTTTATTTTTGGCCAAAAGGAGGGAATTGGTCAGGTAGTGAAGGTTCAATCTTTTGAATGTGAGCCTTTTCTGGTCCTTGTATCAACGATGAATTCTAACCTGTTCGTCTGGCTGATCACGCTTTTTACTGAGCCACGGCAGCTAAAGCTTTTACATGCGACTGGACAAGTATTGAGTGGTTTTGTTAGCTTCAAGGTCCCTAGAGAACATCTGCTTGCATACCAAGAGTCCCAAACAGTGCCAGTCAGGGTGCTTGTTATCCCGTCCGTCCGTCCATCTAGCTTCTGTGCGGATTGAACTCTTAAAAATGTTATTCACAGACCCTTTAAACAACAACAGGATTTAATTTCCTTTCATTCACAATTCGTAATCCTTCACATGGAGGGCTAGATTTGATGTTTCAATAGCAACCACCTCGATGATTTAACAGAGAGCAGCCCACACACAAAATCACAATAATTAAAGAATGGCATGCAATTCTCTCCAACATGCCCAACTCGTGCAGTTTTGATGATTGTTAATCATATCTCGGAAGCAGGACTTTCACAACCCACCTGGGATTACTCTACCGGCAACTCACATATTTCAGATGGTGTAGTTGGTTAATGCACAAAGTGCTGTCTTATAACTGAAGTGGGGAGGTGGATACAATTATTTTAAATTTGGTCAGGAAAAAACACCTGGAATACCTACTTCACTATGATAACTTTGCATTTGCCTGAGCGGCAACCAACAACATCCTAAGCACCATGAT